AAAGATCATTGAATAAAAAAAGTTCAGTGACTTGGAATGCATGTGGACTTTTATCCATGTCCCTATTTCTTATATTAGTCCACTGAAATTAATAAAAGTGGTATCATCTCTTCCTTTCCAGAATGAGGTCTTAGAAGTTTTGTTCATCCTAAGATAATAAATTGGTAAATTGTCTATCTAAGCTCAGATGTAGACCAGCCATAGATGGAAAACTATGTTTTTTTCATTGGTGAGCATGGTTAGTTAATAAGTTAAACTACATAAATGAATTGAAAGTCAAGACTTTCTGATTCTAAAATACAGTTGCATTTGGGAAATAAAATACAGTTGCATTTGGGGAATTTAGAAAAAAACAGTGTTTTTATCATTTCCTGGCTAAGATAGAAATATATGATTCATTCTATGTTAACTATTTTTCTGTGTAACTAAGATATAAATGAAAAATATTCTCAAAGATATATTACAGGCCTTTCAAAAGATCAGTAAAAGATAAAGTTTAAAGTTAGGTTGATTCTGATTTTAATAACTGATGATTTATCTTAGAGACCATTTCAGCTAATATTACAGCAAGAGCAATTGCCAAATATTTTTTTTCCAGGATTTCTTGTCACGACACTAACTGAAGTAAAACAACACAAGTTGCCACTTCACCCAAAAGTGGTGATTTTACTCTGTCTCTTCTTGATGGCTGAATGGGTCACGAGTAAAAGTCCCATTGAGTGCTTTAAAATGTGTGAGTATTGCCAAATATTTTATTCTTCCCAAATTAGACAAATATATGATCAATAAGTTATAAAATAATTCTTCATACGTTGATTTGAAATGAAGATCTAATCATGAATTATTAAAGAGTACGATGGGAGAGAAAAATGAGAACAGATTGAATAGCCATGTCCAGTCTATAGGAAGTAATGGAAAGACATGTCCAGTTTCTTTTAAAAAGTATGCTGCAATTTATAAAACAAAAGAAATTTGATGGAACATGTAATAAACACAAAAATACACAAAGAGAAATAAGCATATGGAATGATAAAGATACAAAGTAAAAATGAGATTACTATAAAAATTATGATGTGATTATGAGTCCAGTGAAGAGAACCTCGGAAAATTCTGGTTCCTAACCTAGCAGTTATCAATCATCTGTTTGCATTCAATTAATCTGTAATGTTCTTTAATTTTAAACTTTGTTTTAAACATAAAATATTTTATATGTGTTAATGGTGTTTGGGTAATAATATTTGGCTAAACTCAGGGTATTTTTCCATGAGTGAATATAGTCTTAACATTGCTAATTTGTATCATAAACTAGGATTATTTGGTTTCTAACATTTAACAGTCTAATTTATCCAAACTCTGCCCCTCAATTGTTTCTGTCTCAAAACACTTACTAGAAATCGTAAGGATCACAATATTCCCTGAAGCACGCACAGTTCAGGGGATGCTTTTCTATTAAGTACATACATCTAATATGTTTGGATATGGTGTCTCAGCTTTATAATACATATATTGGAGTAAAAATCAATTTTCAGAAAGATAAGAATAATTTACTAGTTATTTCTCAATATGGATATTGTTGTGTAGTTTTTCCTCTAAGTGTCAAGAAAAGTTTTATCTTCTTTTATGAAGCAATGTTGAAGTTTCTTAAGAAAAAATTTTAATGTAGATTTAATAAAGGATATTAAGAATGTGTGAGGATTAGGCAAAAGACATTTTCATTTGTCCATGAGTAGGTACAAACTTCTCAAGAAAGTCACTGAGTTTCATGTCTTAAGTGGAAATCATTTTAATTCTTACAAGTTTTCATTGACTGTATTTAAAAATATTTCAAGTTTTTGTTTTGTTTCAGTCTTTCCCTTTTACGCTCTGGATAACTGACTTTTTAAACATCCCTTTCCATTTGCCTTAGGCTGGATATTGCTATGCAAAAGGACAGCAAATCTAAGATCAGGGGTATCAATTAACTCTCAACTTCACACAGCCTACAATCGCCTGAAGTAAGTCTCAATTCAGTAACTGTCTTTTTCAGTTGATGTTTGCCTATGTCTATAAGGGATGGTTTTGATTATTCTTTGATGTAGAAGGGGTCATCCCACTATGGGCAGCACCATTTCACGTCCAAGTGATCCTGAGGTATTTAAAAAAGTTAAGGACAAGCTGTTTGCATGCCAACAAGCACCATTCTTCCACAGTTCTACCTTGAGTTCCATGCCTGAGTTCCTGTCCTGACAGGCCTCAGTGATGAGTTATGACCTGGAAGTATAAGCCAAGTAAACAAACCCTTTTCTGCCCAAATTGCTTTTGGTCAGAGTCATTTACATAGGGTGACAGTGATAATAGTTGTGTGAGGTAGATCCTTAATGTGTGCTTCTTGTTACCAATAGTTACATAGAATTCATTGTGACCTTCCAACTAGGATTCTCTTTTAGTTATAGACTGAGCAGATATGTTTTCCTCTAGAATTCTAGAGGACATCAGTGTTCAGTTTCAATTTAAGTGTACAAAATGAAAAAGATGAATAGTATGGCCTTTCTAAACTTTAGTAATAAACCGTACCACATACATTCTTAGATATCTTACCAAAAGAATCACACATGTAACTAATTGAAAACAGATTTTTTTTTCCAGAAAGATAGTGAGAATATTGGTCGCAGAAACTTTATCCATTTAGCCCACATGTTGCAAAGATTTTACCAAAAGACAACAAGTGCATTAACCCCAGGAACAATAGTAGGTAAAAGCTAAACAATGGCAATATTCAGAGGCCCTGAGCTAACTGGAAGTCAGAATGCTGTGAGAGATGATGCCACATTGTTTGTGAACTCTCTGAATACTGGTAGAGAACCTGATATAGATTTAAGCATCAAGAACACCTCCTTTGAAAATGTTTGACCAAAGTGAGACTTAGATGATAATAAGGATGTTATTCAGAGAAAAATAGATGAAAGAAAGTGTACACATTGGTAAGGGGTCTATAAGGGATGTAGAGGATTAGGAGAGGGTTTGAGCATACTAGACACACGAAACAGCAAGACTAAGTGCCCAGTGGCAGTCAGGAAATGCAATATTCAAAAATAAGACAATGTCATTGAAGTCTGAGAGGAAACTGTTGGAAAAAAGAAGTATATGCAAAGCTGAGCTATCTGGACTTACTACGTAAGAGCCATTCAAACATTTCAACTCAGATTTCTGATTGCAATAGGTAAAAAATGTCTGCAGACTTTGTCCAATGCTGAGACTTACTGGCCTAGAACAAATGCCTCCTAAATGCAGAGGAAAAGGGACGGGATGAAAACATTTGCTTTCAGGAGATGTAAGCACTGTAAATGTTTACTTTTAATTTTGTACATTAAGTTTGAGATATTTGTTTTATACTTAAAATTATTCTCCATGATCCCATTTAAATTATTTGTTCATATAAAATGTTCAAATAGAGCTATCATATGACCTAACTATCTTACTCCTGTGCAATATACCCAGAGAACTTACTATCCTACTGTAGAGATATTTGCAATACCATGTTTATTGCTGCTGTATTCACTATAGCAAGAAAATCAAAACACCCTAGTTGTCCATCAACAGATGAATGTATAATGAAAATCTGGAACATATGTAAAGTGAAATATTATTCAACTCCAAAGAAAAATATAATCTTGAATTTCACAGCAATATAGATGAACTTATAATATTGAGATCACCTAACCTCAAAAAGTATAAAACACACATTTTTCCTTATATGCACATCCTAGTCATAATGTACAAATGTACATATGTAAACAAATTCATGTGTGTATATACTGTAATATTTAGAGCATGAAGAGAAGAAAGGGTAATGTGAAAAGAAAGAGAGCAAAGTTTTCCCCTTCTTTTCATGGTGGATGTGTAATTTCAATTTGTAGTGGAGGGAAGTAATGGAACCATTTCCACATTACTAAACAGTTCAGTGAGTATTGTCTCTTTTGGATAGAGTGAGAATTAGGCTTCCTTTTATATTTCATTGACCTTTAGTGCAGTGGGAACTGGACAGGACTGGACATTGGATATCTGTTTCACATTGACACACTCGGAAAAATTGATTCACTTTGTGTTGTTGTTCTTGTTGTTGTTAATGTTTACTGCAATTTGGGGTTCTGGGCTTCAATTGTTCATTCAAGATTTGGTTTTGTTGAAAATAAAATTGATTTAAATAAAAATAGTGTTATCATATTCTAAATTCATATTTAGGTATCATTTCAGAAATTTCAGTTGAGAATATTGGGAATCTTTTTTCAAAGACCTGTTAAAGTTAGGGCAAACATTAACATAATAAAAGATAAATAAGAAGTATCTATTGGACAACATCTTTTTTGCATGGTTGGGTGAAAACATGTTACATGAGTGCACTGCACTGCTAAGTCAAACAAGGATGCACGTTTGGTAAGGCAATTCAAAAGCATAGCAGGTGGCTTAAGACTGGGGTGACTTGGAGCTGGATAGATAGTTCAGCTGTTAAGAGCACTGACTGTTCTTGTAGAGGACCCAGGTTTGACTCCCAGCACATACATGTTAGCCAACAACTGTCCATAACTCCAGTTCCAGGGGGTCAAACTCCCTTTTCTGATGTTTTTGGGCATTGTACAACATGTGTGCACTTATATACATACAGGTAATATACTCATACATGTAAAATAAAAATAATAAAATATATATTAAAAAACACTGGGTGGCTTGAGTTATAGAGTTTAATTTCCTAGTGCTTTGGAGGCTAGAATTTCAAGATCAAAGTGTCTGGAAGGAAATACAGATTCTGTTTCTTCTGAGGCCTCTGATTGCATTGCAGGTGGCCGTGTCCCAGCTGAGTCACTCTCACATGACTCTTTTCTCTTTCCATTTGTATCCATTAAGCTTTGGTGTATTTAAATTCTTTTCTGAGAACACTGATAAATCTTAATTAGAATCTGACCTAATGATCTCAATTACTTTCATTAATTCTAACTCTCTGAGGTTCTGAAAGTTAGCACGGCAACGAAGAAGTTTGGAGGTACCTATATCAATCGATAACACCAAGATGTCTGCATCCTCCAATGTGATTATTTATTTATGTTATTCATTTGAAATTTGAGTAGTGTAAATAGGATCTATGCATCAATGCTGTCTCCATTTTTCAAAAATATGAGGGTTCCCAGCTTGTGCAATGCACTGTAAATTCAGTCTTTGCTTTCACCCAGAGTACATGACCTCTTAACTCACCTTTGCGTCTTCACAGAGCAAAACCTTTCCCTCACAGTAGGCTGTTTTAGTAAGGACAAGAGGCTTTGCATCTTAGCTTAATTTTTTTTCTTTAGGAAGTTCAGCATTATGCTTAGCAATACACATAATATAATAAAGTTTGATGGAGATTAAGTGATTCATGACCCTTTCCTTGATACAAAATTGACCACAGAAAATATTGTTCCCAAACTAATATTCCTAACTACCCCTAAAGCATAGTTAGAAGGTAGGAAACTAGAAAATAAATCGATTACCACACATTAAAAATTGTTAGGTTTTATGACAGTCTTATTTCTTCAAATATTTGGGCTCATTATCTGGAAAATGTTATGAGAACAAAAGAATTGGAAAAACAAAGTAAGAGTGTTTTCTTTTCCACATTTCCCTATGAAGAGATACTGGTTTATTCTCAATGTTCTTTTTCTCTTTTTTTTTTTTTGTCTTTTTGAGACAGGGTCTCCCTGTAGCCCCAGCTGTCCTGGAACTC